TAAAACAGTTTGATCAGGAGCCAGAGAGGCCATTCGTGGGCGGCGACTTGGGGTCTCTTTGGGGTGGAGAGGAAAGGCTGGCTCTACACCCATCCCATGATTCCCCACATATCTCATCACTGCGCCCAAACCTGACTGTCCAATGGCCTCTGGCGGATGGTGACCACCAAGCCACCAAGGGGGAGCAGGTCAAGGGACAGTACCCTTTCCCCTCTGGGGTGGCCTGGTGACAGTAACTTATGCATGGTCCGGATGCATTTCATCCAAAAGCCACTGTGTTTTGAGATTTGTTTCTGAATCTCTGGGATCATGGTCAATAACCAGCTTGATCAGGAGCCAGAGAGGCTATTTGTGGGTGATGACTCGGGGTCTCGTTGGGACAGGGAGGAAAGGGCCTGCTCCACCCCCATCCCGTGAGGTCCTACTTGTCTCATCATTGTGGACCCAAACTTGACTATCCAGTGACCTCTGGAGGATGGCAGCCACCGGGCCGCCAGGGGGAACAGGCCAAGGCACAAAACCTATTCCCACCTGAGGTGGCCTGGTGCTGGTAACCTACTGCAGGGACTAGACGCATTTCTGCCAAAAGCCATTGGGGTTCGAGATTTGTTTCTGAGTCTCTGGGATCATGGCCATTAAGCAGTTCGATCAGGAACCAGAGAGGCCATGCCTCCAATTATATAGCTGAGCCAGAGGTGGTTTGTGGGTGTGTCTCACACATACTTAACTTTTGACCATTTACTTTCTTGGTAAACTTTGCCCCAAGTTTTTTGGGTCTGGTCAAGGACACAGCAGCAATTTGGGGTATCTGGATGTCTGAAGGCACCATCAGGCTGCTGATGCACTCGCCTCACAGGTACTGATTGACCTGCTGGCAGCACCATACCCCCTCAACTGTTATTTTTAAGATACACTTTCAACTGCATTTATATAATATTAAATTTTTAAGAGAGGATTAGAGTACCATAAACATAGAAATGTGCAAGCAAGTGTATTCTGTATGAATAGTTCTTGTGAGATTCTAGATTATTTTTCTGAATATCTCTTTAATTTAACTATAGTAGCCCCCACCATGCTTGAACATTTAATACTTGCACTAAAAGATAACACACTTATTAAGCAACATAACTTTTAAAAGATCTAGCAATGTCTTAGTAGTTCACTCATTGGAATTACACTCTCAAAGATAATTTGAAATACTGATTAGTGGAAAGTTTGATCTTGGCCATAGGTAAATGGAACAAGACAGATTTTTATATCAGAGATACTTAGAAACTCAGATGCCTGACTGCATATTGGAATGGATATGTCAGGTGTCCCTTCATGGAAATTGAAGCTAATAACACAGGGTTAAAAACTTATATTTGTTCTACCACACAGAATCACATTATCATATCAATCCTTCTCTCGACATCACTAAGAAGTGTCATAATAAAAAATTACCAAACACAGGTCCTCATAAATAACACAGGAACAGTAATGAAAACAAATGCACAAATAAAGAACATTGAATGATGCCTTGGAAGAAATCCAATAAAGCAACAGGCTACGGAAGGCTTAAGTTTAGCAGAAGTATTTCAGAGAGCAGGGTTAGTACAACAGGATGATAACACAGTTATACCCCACTGTTTGGTGATATGTACATGCCTATGGTGATGTTTATCTGGGACCAAAAGAAAGAGGTTATTTTTCAAGTCTGCAGGATATCCAAATTGTTATAATAATCACCTGGTGGACAACAGCACTCTACTACTTTTAAATTCAAAAAGAGTTAACAATCAATCAAGGGATAAGAGATGACTTTTTAACTTTCATATTCCCCTTTTCTGCCACAAATACCTTACTGAGTATGCTTGGACCACCCTCATTCTTTGCAAAGCAGAATTTAAAGCTCCTGAAACAAACAAAAATCCCTTAAGTAAAACCATGTTCAAGAGGCCAACTCTGTGGTGTGCCTTCACTAACAATAGCAACAGTTGCTTCTAGGGGAAGAGATCATTACTGGGCTTATTGCTATTACTAGCCAGCATGAGACAAAAACAGTATAAAACCCAGGTATAGGCAGAATAGCAAGAGTCAGCCAGCATGGAGGCAAATAAAAAGCACACTGTGCCTTCCACGGCAGGCTGTCTAGTGCTGCCTGCAAAAGTGCAACTATGTGAACTTCAAAATAGGAAATGAACATTCCTGAGTTACAGTTAAGATCACGGGACAGCTGACTATTAAAGATGCTTCTTTGTTCCTTAGTTGGAACCAAGTACTAGAAGACTGGGCTTCCAAGGGTCCAAGTGATGCCATGACCACCTACTATTCTTACCACCTTAAGAATCACAAGGCTCGTTTGTGAATAATAATTCCTCGTGAGTCTCAACCACAATGATTGTAAATCGGATTAGGAATAAGAATTGAGAATCAACATAAAGACTCACACAAATTAAATTTACTATAGGTAGGAGATGAATAAACATAGGTGAAACCCTGTCTTCAAAATTTTAACACCTGTGGACTGTCCTGTGTCCTGCATGACAGTCCATGGACCAGCAGTTATAATCAAGGTAGTAGATCATCAGTTTTCACCTGTGGAATGACTCTGGTCTATGGGCCTGGTGGATGAAGACCAATGGGGTTCAAAACTTTAAATATATGCACTTGGTCTAAAGAAAATACTTCTCGAAATTGTGTCATTCTTTGAAGTTTTATATGTATATACACGCTTGTTTTCATTGAGTTGATTTGTAACTACAAAGGACTTGAGACAGTAACCCTGATTTATATTGAGGAAATTCTGTGATCACTTTGGAAATAAATTAAGTATGTCCCAAATATGATGATATAAAACTATAGTGTATAGGGGTTAAGGTGCTTCCCTGCAAGTGACCAAACCAATTTTGATCCCTAGCATCATCCTGCTGGGAAAGAGTCCCAAGTACAGTATCAGGTGCAGTCTCCAGCATCACTGGGTATGGTCCTAGAACCCAATCTGCCTCCTCTCACCCCAACTTCTGCCAAAATAGAAATGTGGAATAAAATCATCTGAGGCTAAATATTAATGGCAGTGATGATAAAAACCACATTCATCAATCAATACATGAACACCATACTCCATCATCGCACCATAAATGGCAACAAAATAATTACAGTTTTTGCCAGAAAATTGGGATGTCAGAAGCAGTCACCAACAAAATCAGAGAGTTTATACTGGGTGCGCAGTGTTCTTCAGTGCTTACTGAGAATTTAGAAATGATTACTTTTTACTACTTTAATTGAGATATAATTCAAATACCATAAAACTCAATCTTTTAATGTGTATGAGTGTGTTTTAGAACATTCACAATGTTTTATAACTATCTCCACCTATTTTATATTTTATCATCCTCCCAAAGAAACCTTATGCTCCCTGTTTCTCTCTCTTCCCTTTCAACCTCTAATCTATTTTCACTCAATACTTAACTGGCTGCTAGTGTAGGAAATATTTTAACGCTCCTTTAAAATTCTGAAGTGAAATTTGCTATCATAACTCATCTATTTGTATAAATTCTAAATAAACAATGTGTATATATCATCATTCTGTGCGTCTCACTTTATTTAACTCATACATTTTCCCCCTGCTACCAGCCAAACCTCCACACAGTGCATGCTACTTTCAATGGATGAAGGAATTCCATCAAATAGACATTGTATAATTTGTCTAACTTTTCTGCTGCTGTTGGAATTTACATTTGAATACTGTTCTTATTTTAAAATAACATAGTAGCTGGGTTTAACATTTATGCTTTGTATTCAAGAAACAATTTCAAAAAGGAGCTAGTGGTATAAAACTCTTTCATAGTGCATGCACATTTAGAAACTTAAGCAAAGAGGGGTTGGTGGACAGTGGGGCGGGAGAAGGCTGGCAGGTCCTCTTTCCCTATCACATCCTGTCTCAAAGCAATCAAAAGAACAGTATGCTTTCCCTTGCCTCTCCTCTTCTTCTTCCCTCCAACCCCCATCTATAAATTCATTCTAAGGAATTTAGTGCAAGGACCTATAGGAGTTCACTCCTCTAGAGTACTTTACAGAGATAGGTAAAGGTAAGGTAAGGTAAAGGCCCTCCCGTTGATCGTCGATTTGCTCGAGCGGGCCCAGTAACGTCTCCATTGGAGACTTTGTTGTTACTGTGTCTGGCATATCGAATACTCTCGGTAGCTTGCCGGGCTCTCCGAGAGGGGTGGAAGAATCGAACTCGGGTCGGCCATCTTGGCTGCATGTAAGGCAAACGCCCTACCGCTGTGCTATTGCTCCAGCCCTCACTATCGCTATGATTTAGACTTAGAGTGTAACTGCATAGGCATTTGCATTTGTATGAAGAGGTCAGAAACCCAATTCTAGAATAAGTCAGGATTTTACTCTTTATTTCACTTTACTAGGAAAATAAAGACTATCCTAATAAATTCTCCTTCCTCTTTTAGTACACTTAAAAACCCATTTTTGAGATTCACTGACTCCATTAGGTTAGAAGTTTTGTATTAAATACAAAGGGAAGAAAGGGGAAACTGTGTGGGGAGAGAGGAGAGACGGCGACATATTGGCCAGAAATGAAGGGAGACTGTGGAGCTTGCTCCTGGTTAGCCCTGCATTCAGGAACGATGAAGTGAAGAACAAGAAGCCAAGGCTTCTAAGAGATCTCAGGTTCCCTTGGACATATGTGTTGATTACTTGTTAGCATCGTACATGGACTCCTTCAACTTTTGGTTCTGTTTTAGAATGCCCTAATTTACTTTCTGTTTAGCATCTGTACAATAACAATTTTACCACAAAAGGTAAATGCCTTGTAAACTAATTGGAGACATACTGCTTGGCACAATTTATAATGTCAGGATTTATAGCTCTAACACTGAGGGTCTCTCTGACCTCAAAGATAACATATTGAAACAACAATGTGCTGCAAATAACTTGGTGTGATTTTTATTAGTGCTCATAATTGTCCCTTGTTAATTTGTATGCACATAATAAGCACTCACCTTCACAGTCTGTCCAGCTTCAGGGCCATCCTAGAAAACAAAACAATGAAAGAGGTGAGGACAGATAGATGATATTTCCTGCTTATGCAGAAATACCACAGTTAATAATTTAGATCCAATTTTATTGTGTTAATTTATAGTATTCTCTTGGGGACCATTGGCTTCAAATGTGTGGGACAAGTTCATTCTCCATTTCTTCTGGAGAGTGAGAATTTATGTACAAAAATTACATGAATTATAGAGTGAGCCAACCTTCTTGCTACTTTTCATGCTCTTTGCTCTTGGCTATGGTTTTAATTGCATTAAAGGAAGGCTGGAAACATTTGAGGAGGTAAAGTATCACACCTTTTGGCTACCTTTGAAATCATAGGTAACTTAACTACTGTCTGATTATTTTAAGTCTCTTTGTAAGAAATCTGTAAACATAATCCATTAACAAAGCATATAGGATATCCCATACCCAAATAGCATTTAAAAAGGTGTCTCTTGGTTTGAACTTAGGGAAGAAAGGTAGAAATGTACCTGGAACAATTCCTGCTACACGGGCCCTTTCCCAACCTCTTTATGTCTCTGTTTTTTGAAGCCCCCCAAAATATTGGTTTAGTTGAAAATGAACAACCACGACCAGTTGCCATATATAGCAATCCCCTTCCTCCACATACAAACAAATAAAACAAAAATAAAAAGTCTTTAAATAGTTTGGAACACCAGCATGAGCAGTGTCACTCTAATCAGAAATTTCCAAATTAAATTAGAACACTGAAAGATACTACTTATGTAAGTATCTTAGGTTACCTCTATAACTGAGACTTAAAGGGCTAAATTCTTGCCTTACAGTGGTCAAGATCAAACATAACTGGGTAATCAGAGGTTTTACATGCTGGAGTTAGTGGGCCATGGTATCAATGCGTTGTGCCTTTAACACTCAAAATAAGAGAAATTGGAGTACAGAGAACTGGTAAACATTGTTTTGTGAATCTTTGTCAATATATCTGTGTGTATGTATGTGTGTGTTAACAGGGGGAGTAAGGGTCAAAAAATAAAATTATATGTTTGAAAATACTGCATACATGAAAGTTTCCTAAGCTTGCTATCCGAGAGTTCTACACTTAAGGAGATTGACTTTCTAGTGAATCATTTTAGATAACCAACATTGCCATTTTCATACCAATGTGAAAATTCTTCTAGTATTTCATTAAGCATGGGCAGGTATCTCATTTACCTACTTGCCTTCTTTCACTCTCTCAGGAAGTATAGTTTACAGAATAAGCTTGATAAATCAACCTCAGCTTAGTGTCTTACTAGATGACCACTTAAATGAGTCAATAAAACAAACACATATATTATATTTTGGGGAACTTTAGATACTCCAAATACAGACAGTAAAGGAAAACATTTAACTTTCCATACAAATAAGCATTTTTAGTGAGAGCCTTTTATAACTTGAAAAGAGTAGCCTTTGTTAATTTTCATTAAAAGCTTATGGTAGCAAGATGAGGAAGGTGAGGGAGAATTGAAAAATATCCATCTTCAATAAAACATTGACAAGGTCTAATATTAGAACTACTTCTCTTATTTGCAAAGGGAGTTTTCAAATCACCCCATTTAAAGGTTACAATGGATTGCAACTTTATATTTGTACCTCAAATTCTTTTCATGGAGCCCACAGTACACAGCTATTGATATCCTTTACTCCCACAGATATTCATTTATCAGTATTTCCTCTTCTAGCCCTTAGGAACATCACCTCAATCTCTGCCAAAAGATCTCTACTGACAGGGTAATCTAATTTCTATACTGATCATCAGACTATAGAAAATAATAAACTCAGTTTCTTACCCATCCATAATCAACCACTGAGGTTTGAAATTAAAGACAGAGGAAGTGTCAACCTCTGAAATAAAAGCCAAAACTAAGCTGTCTCTATCTACTGCCCTAAAATCAAATCAAGACTATGTTCTAGCTAAAAATAGATTTTTTATGGAGTGAAAATGATTTTTCTAGCTCCAGCTTCAGTACATAACCTAGAATATCTTACTATCCATTAAACCATGTATCAATGAATTGCACCTATTTTGTTAACAATGCTGCAGATATTGTCTCACTTGATAGCTGATATTCATTCTACAGTCCATTCTGACTGGGAAATAATAGTGAGGCTACTCTCTATTTTTTTTCAAATTTTTATTAGTGAAACACCATGAGGTACAGTTGTTGACTTACAAATTTTTGTGCTTGGATTTCGGTCATACCATGATCAAATACCCATCCCTCCACCAGTGCCCATTTTCCACCACCAAGGATAATATCCCCCCCCCCATTCCTCACATCCCCCCCTGCCACTGTGGCAGGGCATTTCCTTTTGTTTTCTCTCTCCTTTTGGGTGTTGTGATCAGAGGTTAGTCTCTATTACTAACAGATTTTTTTTTCTATTGGGGAGGGGAAACTTTGGCAATGGATTTCTGGGAGCCAAAGACCAAGACATATTTGAAGAGACAAGATATGACCTAAAAAATAGTTTTTATGCCTCCGTCCAGACTCAAAGCCAAAAGTTAGACACTCTGCAGGGACAATTCATAGGACGGATACAGAGGTCCTTACAAAATTCAGAGGATAAAGAGCCTTTAAGAAGTCCAGTTCCTTTTACTGAATCATGTCCTAGCAATTCCTTATCATTATAAAGTCAAGTCTCAGGTAGTTTGGAAAAGATTCTATGTAATCGACTTCCTAAACACTCCATTTGGGAGGTGCCTGCCATCCCCACCTCCCATTTTGGGTGTGTAATCTATTTTGCGTTATAGTTTTACAACCTCTTTTACTTTACAGTTTTTTTTCCCAGAAAAGTCCTCTTCTCAGAAAATAAACAAGATTCATTTTCCATTAATAAAACTATTTTGCTTCACTCTCTTCTCTGAAAAATCTTTTCTGCAACAAATGTCAAGGTAGAACCTTCCTGCCCCCCCCCCACACACACACACACACAATGGAGGATGGAGTAGCCGTCTTTATTGCCATGAGAATATCTTCATCTCAAACTGAGAACCAAGACTCACCCAAAATTTGGGTGGCAGGGATCAGCTCCCATGTCATACAGATTAAGTGAATCTCAGGTGACACTTGATGGCCACACTGATGAGGCTGACAAAATTTAGTGCCCTCTTCAATTAGGAACTTAGGTAGATTTCACCAGTCTTGACTTCTCTGGGCATGCACCCCAATGCTACCTGTGAGATATCTTGTTTTAAAAGACTAGAAAAGCCAATACCAGGTATTTCAAAGACAGAAAAAGAATTTCTGAACAATCAGTGCACTCACCTGCATGGAGAAAGTGAGAGACGTGCCCTGGAAATGCTTCTCCACCACCATGCCAACTCTCTGGGTTGCCTGAAACAAATCAGCCACTTCATCAGGACGCAAATCCTGAAAGCGGTCCACTGGTCGAAGGGGACACACAAGAACATCTGTAGTGAGTTCTGTTAAGGAACACTCTCCTTGTTTGGGATAATATTCTCACCCTGAAGTTAATAGCTACAGTATTAAATCCTGTTGACCCAACATCTCAAATCCTTGGCCCAAGGAATAAAGAAGCAAATAGTTTTCAATGAGCAAAAATCCAAGAAATTCAATGTGAATTTACAAACATGGTTAATTACACTTTGAAGGAAACTCTATGTTGTGCTAGAGAAATTAATTTAAGAGAAAAGAGACATTAGCATTCAGAGGTTCTCAAGTGCTTCCTAAGATAATTATGCGAAGTTGCATTCTGGTTGATTATCTCCAGATCCCTAAAGTTCTTTCTTCTCAAGCAGTCAAAAGCGTTGAGTTGGAAAAACAACTGGAATATCCAGTTACTTTGTCACACAGAGCATCATGATTAAAATTTAAACTTCAGTATATCTTTAGAGAAATAGGTAGGGAAAAAAACAATAGTAGTTTTATTTAATTTAAAAAAGAGTACAGGGATTCTAGAAATATTGTAATTAAGAGATTTGTCATGTGGCTAAGCAATTTATGGCAAGAGTTCCCCTGGGATCCAAGTGATTGGAGAATCTAGCTTCTCTAATGGTTATCGGGTCAAAATGAATAATTGATTATTAAGAGAGGGATTATGTGAACAAACCATCAATGTATTCTACAAGTCTGACAAGCAAACATATTTTTATGATTGGTCTGAGAAAACTTCAAGGTCTAGAGAAAAGGGATATTACTAAATTGTTATTGGAAAATTAACATATAACAACATTCAGTTCCCTTTTGAATTTCAAATAACTTATGTTTACATATACATATACCTCCAGGACCAGCCACCACCATGCTGAGACCACTCTCCGCACACATGAAGGTACTGGCAGAGGGACAAATCCACGCGGGTTCCGGGGCCAAGACCTCCAAGCCTACTCAGATTGGAGTCGAGCATCTTCCATCCAGATCCTCCAAATTCCAGTAGGTGGGGGTCACACCCACCACCTGGCCCCCTGGCGCCGTGTAATCCCATCAGCGGCCAAGACTCAGAGATTATAAAATCCAGATCCCGGAACCACACGGCCACATTCGCGGCCGCGCGACATCTTATCAGAACTTTTTTTTTTTTATGACATCTTATTATCTCATTCCTACTTTGGACAAACTTGCAGGCTATCGAATGTAGCCTGCCCACAGGGCAGAGTCTGGCAAACTCCCCATGGCGTACCAAATATGCCAAATATCAGTAACAATGATGAGTCTCATTCTCCTAAAGAGCCTTGAATATAATCTCAGGGCTAGGATGAAAGAGACGTTACTGGGGCCTGCTCGAGGCAATTGACGAATAAAAGGATGATGAAATGAAAATGAAATGTTTACATATGAATATTCAAATGCATGTACACACGCATTAGATATAAATTTTTGCTTAGTTTCTAGGACCAAAAAAAGTGTTAAGAATTTCTTTAGGGGCTGGAGCTATAGTACAGTGGATAGGTAGTTTGCATTGCATGCAGCCAACTTGGGTTCAATTTCCAGCATTCCATATGACCCCCTGAACACTGCCAAGAGTAATTTCTGAGTGCAGAGATGGAGTAACCCCTATGGATCTCTGGGTGTGACCCCAAAAGAAAAAAAAAAGAACTTCTTAATCTTTTCTTATTCCCTTCTTTTTTAAGGAGCATATGGAGCAGAACAACTAAAGGGCATAATAAAACCACAATTCTGCAATTGCTAATTTTACTAGACTATCAAGCATTTTAGCCCATCATACTATAGTTGGAATTTAGGGCTCAAGGGTAAATGCACAATTTGTTTCAGTGGATCTGAATTCCATAAGTGAAAGAGGGGGAAGGGATGAAAGGAAAAACATTAATTTCACTCGTTATCAGAAAATTCATGTCAATGGCAAACTTCAAAAATTGAGCATTTGTTTCATCTAAGTTCATTTTTCAAAAGAGGAGAAGGGAGGTCTTTACCCACAGGGCATCTGATACTTAAAAAGATAATTATCCTTTCTGACAGGACTGCTTTATTATCATGGGTCAATGGACCGTTTAAAAATGAAGAATTTCCTTTCATTTCCTTTAGCACATTACCAGTTTCTACTCCCACTTAGCTGCTTCCTTATTGTTAAAAGAGACCTTTCCTCATCTTCCCCCTTCCTGTATAATTTACACTCTATTTTCTGCCTAACTTTACCAAACCACAAGAAGATGAAAACTTTGCAAACTTCTAATAATACACATAATTGCTGTGGTAGGTCTATATCTACACACAACTACATGGGAAGGACATTTTTTTTAAAGCAAGAAAGTTTTTATTGAAATTTCTTCAGTAAGATGTGAGGGAAGGTAATGGGAAGAGTATGTTTTAAGAGAGAACACCAGTTTCTCCTGAGTGGAAATAGGCAAGCTAAGAAACATACAGAGAATCAAGTGCGCTATGAGTTCAAGGGAGAACATGGGTTTGAAGAGCAAGCCAGGAACAGTATTTATTCAAATTATTGCTTATGGTGAAAACTGGTGGAATCAATCTGATAATCTTTGTATTAAATGGAATCTTAGTAATATCAATGGCATCTGAAAAGCTTTTATCAATGCATTGAAAAAACTTAGTCTATCCTGCTTGTCTGACAGTACAGATAGGCTTGACTTAAGGACCTAAAATGCTTATGAAATTGAGGCACCAAAGAGCAGGTGTAGAGCTTACTTTTGTGTGCCTAGCATGTGATCAACATTGGTTCCACCCTGACACCACATTTAGTTCCCTGAGCACTGCAAAGAGTGACCCCTGAGCACAGAGCCAGGGGTAAACCCTGGGTACCAATAGATGTATCTCCTGCCCCAAAATATTTTCTTAAATTTAATCAAAATGACAATCTATGTTTTATCCTATGTGACCTCAACCACATGGTCATATATCACTAATATTTAACACTTTGGCTGAACATCAGTAATAGTAACTAAACATGTAACACAACAGTTTACCGGTAAAACAATTTCATTTATATGAACACTGTTCATAAGCCCATTTTTATACAACATCATCATATACATATCTCCTAAAATCCAAACACTTTGCTTTAAAAAGAGAACTCATCTGTACATAATATACAAACACACATACTTTTAAAGTACACATGTATTTCTGTTTCAACCCAGTAATTAATCCTTTAAGTTTTATTTAGAAAAAATCAGCTATACAAATTTCACATAATTAAACCATAAAATTATATGCAAATTATAGTCAGATAAATTAGAGACAACTTTTAAGGGTGCTTATTAGGTTGGACAAATATTCCATGGAGTTGATCAATCTCTTCTGAAGGATCCCAAGGATCCCTGTTTAGTCATAAACAGGCAGCACAACCAAAAACCAATTTCCCGATAGGCATCACAGAACTCAGACGTTGAGGTCTTTGAGTTATATTGAGTGAGATTCCATAGCTCCTGGATCCTATGTTCACCTAGACAGCGGCAGATTAATAACTCATTACACAAATCTCCCCTAAACCACTTGATGCACTAATTGGGAATCAGAAAGTCAACCATCTTTAAAATACTCCCATGTCTTTAAAACTTAAATCATGTTTCTTTAATAAAAACATTTAAAAAATGTATAACTTCACTAATCTAAAATAAAAACTTAAGCACTTATTAGGGGCTGTAACAGTAGCACAGTGGCAAGGCCATGTGCCTCGAATGTGGCCATCCTGGGTTTGATCCCTGGCATCCATATGGTTCCCCAGGCTCTTCAAGGAGTGATTTCTGAGAGCACAGCTAGGAGTAAGCCTGAGTACTCCCAGGTGCATCCCCCCACCCAAAACAAAGCAAAACAAACACAAAAACTTCAGTGTTTACCTATTAAAAATTCCACTCTTTCAAAAATACATATACATGTCTATGTTTATTTCAACATATTTACATCATTCAAGGTATAGAAAAAAGTAGTGTGTCCAATGACAGATGGTTGGATAAAGAAGAGGTGTTATGTTTAAACAACAGAAAACCACTCAGTTGTTAGAAAGGGTGAAATCTTGCCTTTTGCTACTCTGATATTTATGGATAAAACTGGAGGGTGTTGTGCAAAGTAAAATGAGTCAGAAAGAGAAAGACAAATACTGAATGATCTCACATTTATTAAGAAACAAAGGAAGGGAATTAATATACAATGCCCAATGAAAACAAATCTTTAGACTCTGTCCACAGAAGTGATCTTGCCAAAGAGGTGAAGGGATGGGCTGGAGAGGAGCTGATACTGTCCAGTGAACTATGATGGAGGGATATTGGCACTTTGATAGTGGCTAGGGTATTGTAGCATTGTAGTCTAAAAGTATTTAAACATTATTATAGCCAGTATTACCTCAATAAAAATAACTTAACAAATAAGTGTGATAAACAGAGTGGAAAGAGACTAGGCATTAACCTTGTCATAGGGTACACCTATAATCTACTGCCCCTGGAATCTTTATACCTTCCACTCCCTTGAACTTACTTATTTGTCATATTTGCCTTCTCTCTTTTCCTCCAACAGTCTAAGCCTTTAATCAGACTTAAAATTGCTGTTCTATCTGTGTATTTTGCCTAGAAATCAGATCCTTATAATTTTCTTATGGCTCCTTTTGGATTTTTTTTTTATCATCCAGATTCCAATGCTACTCTCTCAAAAAAGCGTTGCATGATCACCATGTTTAAAATTCTACCCAATTTGTTTGATATCTGCTATTTTAACTCTTCTCCGAGCTCTTGTACCCAGCAAGTTTTCTTGGTTTATTGTTCCCTACCCGAATCAGAATGTAATTTTCATGAGAGTAAAGACTTGATGTTGGCTGCTGCTACTTCATCACTGACTAGAACACCAGAGACAAAAGAAGTGAATACATGATGAATCACATCCTTGTAGCAGCCACGTCTGAGTGCCAAGACATAAACAAAATGGGGAAAAAAGCCCATTCATTTCCTCTAAGTCATCTCTTCAAAATTGAGAGGTCGGAAAT